AGAATGATGCATGCCATCCTCCGTGGCCTTTCTCCACTGTTTTGTTTGGTGTACCTAGACGATGTCATTGTGTTTCTCAATCCACTTTGTCACTTAGTCTTCCTTTAGTTTCTCGCCGCTATGGTTTATACTCGCTTAGCTTTCTTGGTTCTGATCGTTGGAATGCGCTTCCTGCTGATATTCGCACAATCTCCTTGCTCAGAAACTTCCATTCATCTATTCAACAATTCATAGGGTACCCTGTCAAAAGGCCCTAGGCCTGTGGGACTGCCCTATTCAAAATTTAATAATAATAATAATAATTTGAAACTCGGGTATTGAGCCAATAATAAAAGTGGAAAGGAAAAGGACATATGGAAACGAGTTAAGAGTAACTCTCCACCACTGTAACTAGATACTATATACAGTTAGAATTGTAGTTAGACCGCTTTGTCAAATTGCCTACTGGTCTCGTCATCGTCCAGTGACAATCGACATTCTTTGTTCCGTTGGGACTGTAGCTTGTGCTCGTTTTCGTTGCGCTTGCCTTCCCCTCTTTGGTCTTTCCATAACCTTGAACCATCCAAGTTGGATGGCTGTCGGTTAGCGCTACGGAGATGTGTTGAAGCTAGGTGTCAGGACGTCGAATGTCTCAGTACTCTGTCAGTTTTGTGCCTAGTTGTTGCACTTTCTGACTGTATATAGTATCTAGTTACAGTGGTGGAGAGTTACTCTTAACTCGTTTCCATATGTCCTTTTCCTTTCCACTTTTATTATTGGCTCAATACCCGAGTTTCAAATTGCACACCTGATGAGCCGTCACGAACCATACGGCGAAACGTACGTCGTGTGAAACAACTTGTTTTGTAGTCAACTAGTCCATCACAATGTCATGCATGAGGAGTACTGTAGGAGTTTAGATTTCGGCTTGTACAATTCGTTCTCGCAAAGCTTCCCCCTTCTTAACTTATCTTTGATATTTTTGACCCACCCAAGTTGGGTGGTGTGCTGCTTTGCTGCTTCGATATGCTGCTGATGTATATGATGGTTCTGTGCAAAATACCAGGGGAATTGTTTTGTAGAGGGCGTTGTACTGTAGTAGCAAAAGTTCAACGGGGTCAACGCACCGTCCGACCTAGCTACGACCGTCACTGATTGTAGTGGACTGGAAATGTTATCAAGGGAGTCGTAAACCTACGACTTCCTGGTGCATCTACTTGTACTTGTAGAATATGTACAACTGTATGGAATTTGATGCGAACAGGCGGATTATTCCAATTTATGCGATTCATAATGATGCAATTTGCCTCGAATTATGCGATTATTCGATTTTGGTAAAAATGATGCGAAAAATTATGCTTGCATAATCCGTCAAGGCCTAGCATACAGGAGGCAGAGGGATGACTGTAGGCAGGCTGGTAGGCGCCTGGTGTACACCGTGAACAGTGCCGGTCCCAGGACAGAGCCCTGAGGGACACCGCGATTGGCTGTGTACGGGGTTCCAGGTGGTTGAGGCATTTCACTTGCTGTGGTCGGCTGGACAGATAGCTGGAGAACCATTGCAGAACAGTGCCTCCTACTCCACAGCGCTGCAGCTCCAGAAGGAGCTCACCATGCAGGACACAGTCAAAGGCTTTGCTGAGGTCGAGGAATGCTACAGCAACCACGTTGCCAGAGTCCAGGGACCGCTGCCAACTGTCAATGCATAGCGCCAGTGCGTCACCGCATGAATGACAGGAGCGATAGGCGAACTGTTCGTCAGGTATAACGTCACCTGCAGAGACCATGAACTGCCGGAACTGGTCGTAGACGATTCTTTCTAGGACTTTGGAAACGATGGGAAGAAGGGAGATTGGTCTATAGTTTGTGGGAGCGTGTTTATCACCTTTCTTGAAAACTGGACAGATTTGGGCAAGCTTGTATTGTTCGGGGAATACGCCAGTGGCTAGGGAGTTGTTATAGATTTCCGCCAAGGATGCAGCTAGATACTTGGAGGACGCACGCAGAAGTGAAGCAGGAATGTCGTCAGAGCCGGTGGCTTTCCATTCGTCTAGCTTGCATAACCGTCGTTCCACGTCAGTCGGGGACACTGGCCGAAATGTAGTGAATCCAGTTGCTTTGCTGGGGCCTAGGGGTAATTGTGACCTAGTGTTCAGTGTAGGATCGCTAACTTGAGCCGCAAATACTGCACTTAGGGCCGGAACGTCTACAGGTAGAGTCGTCGGTTGTTGCTTCCGACCTAGGAGGTGGTTCAGTACCTGCCACTGAGCTCGAGGGTTGAACCGACTCAAGAAAAATCTGTTGGTGAAGTACTCAGTTTGCAGTCTGCGCTGTAGAATTTGACACTCTCGTCGGGCAGCTCGGAAACATTGGTGAGCACTGTCACTGTCGCGATCCCGGAGCCACCGTCTGTGTAAGTACACTTTCCGCTGATATAAACTTTGGAGGCCAGGCGTGACCCAGGGTTGTGGTGGTGGATGAGATGACAAGGTGACGCTACGTCGAGGGCAGTGCTGATCCACAGTTTGTAGAACAGCATCGCTCCATACAGTGCTAAGACGGTCTACTGACATGTCACTGCAGCCCGTTGCTCTGAGAGATTGAAGGAAGTCCGGGCCAAACTCCTCAGCAGTAAGTTGTCTGACCGGCGGCGAGCGAATCTTGCGGTGATTGAGCAAGACACGGTGCGGTTGACTGCCAGCGAGTGCAAGGATGAGCGACACAAGGAAATGATCTGAAACGCCGTCTAGTGACTGGACAGCTACTGGTTTGAGTGTTACCTCACTAGGCAGAGTTTGAGAGACAAAGATTTGGTCCAGACAAGTGTTCCTTGGGGATCTAGTGGGTTCTAGCACTACATTGGGGATGCTGAGTGTGTCACAGAGTTCACTAAGGTGGCGGTGTTGAGGGTGCCGCTCAGGAGCCAAAATGTTTACATTAAGATCGCCAAGGAGGAACAGGGTCGCGTTACTACTACTGGTGGCGTGATCAGCCGAGTCTGCTAGGTTCTGCCAGAAGGATACAGGGGCAGTAGGTGGGCGGTAGACGCAACCAATGCATAATGAGGTATCAGTGTTTCCTGCGACCGTTAAGAACAGGGCCTCCACAGTTGTGCTGGGTATGCAGGATGAGACAGGTATGGTTTCACGAACGAAGAAACAAACTCCACCGCCTCTTGTGCCTTGCCTGTCATGACGGTACAGGATGTAGCCAGGGATATTTAACAGGGTGTCTGAAATGCTACTGTCCAGCCAAGTTTCACTAACAGCAAGAACATCAACTGTACGGACGTTGGGTGCATGGAGAATGCTAGTAACATCTGGTAGCTTGTTTCTTATACCGTAAAGTACCGCCAGAGCGCCCCGTCTCGCGAGAGCGCCCCACCTTGATTTTACAGCCAAGGGAAGAAAATCGTATGGCAGAATGCTACTAAGTTTGTACGATGTGAGAACCTTCGTATACTAAGGTCACACTTGGTATGCTTTTATGTGGAGCTCGAAGGTAAACTGGGTACGGATTGACTGCACAATGTGCAATGTTTGTACAAGGTCCGTGTCGTATGACCTACAGACAGGAATCCACCTCCACAAGGCGGCCACGAAAGGACGAGATGGTGGGGCGCTCTGGCGGGACTTTACGGCACTACAGATATTGATATGAGCAATACAAAAGCATGGGAGATTGGGTGATAAGTGTTGCATCAGGTAACCATGGTAACTCACGTGGGGTTCGTAACTTCTTGAGTGACTGTGGAGATTGTGCCCGATCCTATTGCTGCTGCTGCTGTTCACGTTCAAGCAACCTGGTGATTTCACTGTCTGCCATGGCTGTGCCCTCAGGGTCCAGGATGGTGTCATACGGTAGGGAACAATGACTATGTACGTGGAGCGCCCGGAGTCGTTTGTACACTGGGACGACTTTGGTGCGTGCTTGCTGCTGTGAGCGGGTCAGGTCATGGCTCACATACAAATTCCTTGAGCCCACCTTCAAGTCGAGGCGCCTACCGTACACGGCGACCTTCGTGGCTCGCGTGGCAAGCTGCACGCGAACTGGTCTTGGTTTGTCAGGCTGCGCTGTTTGGTGGGCTCGCCTATAATAATGTAGTATAATATTATATAATTATAATAATAACTTGTGCCCCTGCATTTTCCTCGTTTCCACATAATATTATTGTTATTCATTGCACAACCAGGCCGGCACAGTGGGTTGGTGAAAGGCCATGATTACGATACGAGAGGTACCTGGTTTAAGTCTTGCCTGGTTAAGTCTTGCCTGGGAGCGGTTTTTCCAGCGGTGCTGCTACCCACAGTCAACTGGGAACTTGCGGCTAGGCACAAAGGGTAAATGGATGCAGCTAATGGGTTTCTAGTCACTTGTTCCAGTGGTTGTGACTCGTGAGACTTATCCACTCACCTCCACCGTTAGGCGCTGCATCAGCCGCTGGGGTTTAGCGGGTGTTAGCGGCCGTCGTGAGTTCCTTTCGGGAACGGACACGATAATTTACTTTACTCGCACCTGAACATGAGTTGTGTTGCGAACTTTACTAACAGCGATGGAATATTCGCCCAACTGCTACAATTTACGGAAGAAATTCAAACTTTGATGCTTTCCACGATAACATGCTTGGTTCACTGCTAGCTCTTCGGTGAGTTTCGTCAGCCGATTACAATATTACCATGATGTTCGTGATGTAGTTACTCACAACTCTGCTGATTAGGCCTAAGGTCGAAGCAGCACCCCCCCCCCCCCCGGATACTGATAAGCAATCACACCCACCGCAATAAACTTGCGTACAGCAGCCAAAAAGACCAAAACTCCCTATGACTCGCTCTATCCATATCACTCAGTAAACGGTCCCCACCACGCCACTTGCACGAACATACAAGCACACATACGCACGCATACACACGCGGACACGCACATGCATACACACAAACATACAAAAACACACAAACAAACACACACACACAAACACACACACACACACAATGCCACCGCAATGCTGCAGACAACGGTGAGAATACAGATTGGAAACCGTATCCTGTGTTCAGAAACAAAACACGCTATTAGCAGCCACATGTAACGGTATTAGTTCCACATAATGATACTATTAATAGAATAGAATAGACTGGCGAAGGAACAAGAAGAAGAAGGAGCAGTGTAAATCATGAAAGGCTGTACGCGGTGAGGGGCACCGCGGAAGAGAGTGTCATTTTAAGAAAGCGGCAGAACTCTAGATGTCTGATAGAGGGGCGTGGTGGCATTGCATAAGTGATCATAATAATTGAACAAGGGAACTCAATACAGTACGTTGTTCAGTCATGAAATAACAGAACATTGTGTCCTTCTCCTTTTTCACCATAGTTGTATGGAGACCCTGAATTTTTTTTCCGATAAATCGATTTTGAGGAGCCAGCGACGCTTGCGAGTTTTGGTAGCCGGGGCTGGGCGTTCAGATGTGAACTTGACCATGAAGCGTGGTTTGTTGTTTAGCACGGAGCCGACAGCAGCATCAGATTCGCGCCGCTCCTCCAGATCGCGGACTTCCTGCACATCAGCGGCAGTGAAGACGTTGGGCACAACGGAGTGCAGAACCAGAGCATGTGCCACTAGCCTCTCGGTGCTGGACGGAGCGGTCACGGTGTACGTGGTTCTCTCCATCTCCTTGCCAGCCGCATCCGTGTACATTGTCTTCTCGCGCGTCGACTTCAGTCCGATCTTCCTGAGTTCGGTCCTGGCTTCCGCCACCTGGTTTTCGCTGAGCTCGGCCGCCTCGTCATCGTTGATGTCGATCGTCGTGCGAATCTCCTCCGTCACTGCAACATCATTTTAAACCGGGCAAAATAACAATAGCGTAAGACCAGAAGGCGTGCATTTCGATGACTGTGCCGCAATGGGGCGACCAGCATACAGCATTCAGCATACAGCGTATTGTAATAGTGTTAGATGGGTATACAATGTTGTTTGGTTGACAGCATGCTACAAGGCGGAGGACGCATTGTGTTTGAAAACAGTGCTCCTTACTACAACCTCCACGGTTGCCAGAGCACCGGCTTAGCGCCACACCATTTGAACCGCAACTGGGGGGGGGGGGGGGGGGGTAAACCCTGGTTCTGATCGGCTATCATGCTAGTCTGCCCTCTAGCCCGTCTAGGCACTGGCAAAACCAGCTACAGCCTACAGGTGCTTGACTGCATGTAGACTTGTACTTTGTAGTACAGGCGTTCATTTATGCCGTCTACTTCAATGCCAATGGTCATGTCTGGGCACTCGTTTCCACTCAGATTGTTTTGCAGTGCACATACAATGTTATTATGTACCTAAGGGCAGAGGAGAAGCAAAACAAAAGCAAAACAATTGCTGACTCACCCTTGCCAAATGATACCGGCAGTGTAGCGACCATAGCGACCAAGGTCACAGCAAGAAGGAGTCGCGTCATGGCTTCCATGGTGATTGATCGATGGGACCGGGACTCTCCAACCAAGCCAAGATTCGAGTAGGTGTTGCTAACAAGCTAGAGCCAGCGTGTGAGCAAGAAACGTTGTAAAAGGAGAGAAGAAAGTGAGGAGAATTCGCTGGGAAATCAGATTATATACTCGTGGAGCCTACTACTCGTCTGGGTGACTGGGCACCAGTTACGCAGGTCTCTAGCCCGGCGGATAACTACATTGTGGATACAGCAGCTAGTGTGCGGGATGCGGTGCGGGCATTGTCCGGTTGTGGAATGGAAGTGCACAGTGTGTTTCCGACTCCTTAGCTGTCATCAGGGAGCTGTACTCGAACCAGTAGGTTTGGGACAATTGGGTACGACTCCCTGGCTGTCGCTGTCACGTGCGGTATTCCTTGGCCATGGTTGACCGTACATAGATTTCAATTTTGGTATGTTCCGGTCGCTATGCTGGTCACATCATATGACATGACATTTGTCAACAGGCTGAACACTGTTGGTGACAGGCGGCATGGCTGCTGCTGTACTATTACTAAGACAAAACCAGGGGCAGGGAGTCGTCAAATCCAATAAACTACCGGTATTTGACGTCTCCCTGGGCCTGGCTTCATTGGACAAGACAACCAATGCATGCGCCATGGCCACGGGGCAGCACGAAGGCGAACGAACTCGAGGCCTAGGGCCTAGGGGCAAGGGCATGTCAGTGACCATGTCCATGCCACGGTTATATCTTGGCTGTTGCAGTGTTGGTCAATGCAGCACACTAAGTTAGTTACTGTCGAGTACGACAGAGGTACATTTATTTTGACCACAGAGGAACAGATTACAAGTATTCAGTACGGTCATGACGGAAACTGGTCACCAAACCGGTACAAAGGCACTGTGAGATACAATGTACCGTACATCTATTTACATGTACATGAACGTGGTGCATTGCGTGCATGCATGTCCAGTTTAGGACACAGCCACTTTCCTGCTGACTTGACTGTTTACTGTCTGCATCACAATCAGTGCTTGCTCCCTCAGATGGTGAGCCAAGGAAAATATTAAATGGAAACAAGGAAAACGGTGGAGCACAAAGTTCTGCCTTAGAGTCCACCAACTAAACCAAGTTTTGAACAGTCAGACGTGCACAAGGTAGCACCGTACTGACAAGGAGTACTGAGACATTCCACGGCAAGGAAATGGGTTTGAGCACTGCTTGATAGCGCTAACCAACGGCCTTCCAACTTGGAAGGTTCATGGATATTAGTGATAATTCCAAAGAGGGGAGGGCAGTGCTCAAGATCACTTCCTTGCAATGCTGTGGAATGTCTCAGTGCTCCTTGTCAGTCTGGTGCTACCTTGTGCAAGTCTGACTGTTCAAAACCTGGTTTAGTTGGTGGACTCTAACGCATAACTTGTGCCCCACCGTTTTCCTTGTTTCCACATAATATTACTGTTGTTCATTGCACATGAACATGAGTTGGTGCTGCGTACTTACTATTATTATTATTATTATGTGCTTGTTCGCGTAGACATCAGCATGGCCTGCAGCTGCATTAATGGGCATGCAAATCATGCAAACCAGCCAAAAATGTTCGCATAAGCCACTTCGAATAGATACAAAAGACCATAACAGTTTCAGAAAAAGAAGAAATATGCGAAAAGAAGACAAAAACTAGGGTGCCGACACCACTCGGGCACAGATGCCCACCCAACCGCTTCGGTCAGCAGCAAGGGCACGGAACGCCTCCAGATCGACTTTGCTTGACAAGGAAAGTCCAATCCGCTTGGCATCATCTTGTAGTAGCGTTGGTAGTGTGTGTCTTGGTCGTCCCCTCCAGCCCGCTGGGCGAGGCTCTGCGAAGTACGCTCCCATGGCCAGTGATGGTGGGGAGTCAGCCGGGAGCCGGAGGACGTGCCCAAAGAGCCTCCACCTAGCTCTCAAGATGATAATGCCGAGAGGAACCGCGCCGGTACGCTCATAGAGCCTCTCGTTCCTAATCCGATTCGGTTACTTACTAACGACGATGGAATTTTCTCGCAACTGCTACAATTTTTACCAGGTCTCGAAGAGTCAGATGTGCGCACGGTACATGTAGCACCATACATACTGACAAGGAGTAGATCTACTGAGCCATTCTACGGCAAGGAAGTGAGCTTGAGCACTGCTCGATAGCGCTAACCATGCTAACCAACCAGGCGCGTACACAGGGTTCCCGTTGCCCGGACCCCCCCCCCCCCAATATACCAAACGAGGAATGTTTTGGGCATTTTTTTTTATTATGGCGCGCGATCAATCTGGCAAGAATGCAAAACTTCAACAGATCGTAACTCAGTCAAACCTCGCTCGAATCCAACGATACAAATATCCAGGTGGAATAGAAAACTCTCAGCTGTCAGTAGAAACAATTCGCAAAGCGCTGCGAGTAATTTTCTTGACTCGGATACATCATACATCATTCGTAACGGTTGGGCCGCGATTTTTAGACTTTTCGTCACGCTAGGTTGCTCAAATTTGCAGGGGATTCACTTGTGATATTCTCAAGATTACATAGGAAAAAGTCGAAACTGTGCGATCGAGAAAAACGTGATCGCTGGAGCAGGATGCGTTTACGTTTGGGTGTATCCAGCGCTACAGTAGTAGAGTGCAGCCCAAAGGCTTTGGGCTGCACTCTACTACTGTAGCGCTGGATACATGTACATGACATTGTACATGACTTTGTAGTAGTTTGCACAGTGTCCTGGCATGGCTATCATGGTCGACCTTTATTCTTTTTATTCTTATTATTATTTTTGAAAGGATTGGGAGAACTTCAAATACAAGGATCAGTTGGGGAAGTGAACTGCCTGAAAAGAGAAAATATCGCCATGGTGGGTCTGGCGAATTTTTCTCTTTTCAGGCAGTTCACTTCCCCAGCTGATCCTTGTATTTGAAGTTCTCCCAATCCTTTCAAAAATTAATCACTTTCTTTCACTTCTGGTAAGGTCCAGAAACTGACCGTGGTTGATCCCCTGGGGGAGGGAGAAAGACCCAAGTGCCATCAGTATGTGTGGCACGTGTTGTGAGCTGCCTTTGGAGTGAAAAACTTGTCAGCGCCTTCTAGGTTCAGCCTGGTCCCATAGCTCAGTGGTTAGAGCATTGCTCATGACAAGCAGGGTCCCAGGTTCGAGTCCTGGTGGGTCTGGCGATTTTTTCTCTTTTCAGGCAGTTCACTTCCCCAACTGATCCTTATTCCCGTAGCTATGCAGAAGACGTTACTTCAGTAACGTCTGGCGCTAGCCAGGGTCCACACAGCTTTAATTCCCGTAGCTAAGCAGAAGACGTTACTTCAGTAACGTCTGGCGCTAGCCAGGGTCCACACAGCTATAATTCCCGTAGCTATGCAGAAGACGTTACTTCAGTAACGTCTGGCGCTAGCCAGGGTCCACACAGCTTTAATTCCCGTAGCTATGCAGAAGACGTTACTTCAGTAACGTCTGGCGCTAGCCAGGGTCCACACAGCTTTAATTCCCGTAGCTATGCAGAAGACGTTACTTCAGTAACGTCTGGCGCTAGCCAGGGTCCACACAGCTTTAATTTGGTGTTTGTTTGTTTGTTTGTTTATTTGTTTGTTTGTGTCACGCCTGGCGCTATCCCGTATCTGTCTCGTACCGTATCGCACAGCTGGCCATTTGCTGGCTCCCGTATCTGTCCCGTACCGTACCGTACCATCAAACACAGCTGGCTACAAACAGCTGGCCACAATATTATGTACATGTATACGACTCCCTGTGTGTTGCATATGTGCTTGAAGGGGACGATTGCACTTTTTGTAGCTCCGTTTTATCTGAGTTTTCAGTCGTTCCTCTTACTAGTCTTGCCAAGGGGGTGGCTCTGGGTCCACCAGAGTTGCCCCTGGCGTATTTCTGAATTTGCTGGGGCGAGGGTTTCGCGACGCGGTCGCCAAGGCAGTGTCTTTTCAGTCACGACCGTTGTCGTCCTCGTCTCTCCATTCGCGGTGGGGTAGCTGACCCCCGAATGGTTTCAAACTGCGAAGCTCGGAGGAGTACAGTGGTGGCAGAGGCATGAGCTGTGAGTGGACACGGTTGCTGGAGATGGATGGTGATGCAGGGAGAAGAGTTACGCTGCCTGACGCCGCGTGGGAAATTGTTTGAAACTGCAATTTCAGTTCGAGCGCGGTGGACTTCTAGACGATGTGTCCTCATGGCTGTTTTTCAACGCTTGGCCTATCGCTGATATCCCTGCGTGGGATGTTCTTCCATTGGAGTCCAGGTGGGACTTCGGGTGCCCACACTCCATCACCTGGTTGATTGTTTCGGAACTGCAAAAATAATTATTGTTTCCTATTTTGTGCGCATCTCTTGTCATCTCTCTTTTCTATACGTCGCACACCAGATGTACTACTATCGCCGTCTTTCTCTTGCTTTCTCTCCCTGCTTGCTGTTTTTTCTGTTTCTGTTGCCACTGTCCCTCATCATACCCATGCTTGGGTGGTGGGCGGCGTGACCCGTTAGGGTAGCTGCCAATACAGTACGACTCCCTGATGTATAGAGAGACTTTCTGGAAAGAAATAGGGAGACGAGGAGGAAATGAAATTAGAATGGATGTTAGTTGCCGAATAGGTGATAGGATGCGTCAGCAAAAACATACTTTGGAAGAGAGATCCCGTCGTCTCCAAAATAGGCGTGAACGGGTGAGTCAGCGCCGGTCACAGGAAACGTCGGCAGAGTGATCCCGTCGACTCCAGAACGCGCGTGCTCGGCAGAGTCAGCGCCTTCCCAGGAAACATTTCCATCAGTTCCCACAACATGCACGATGAGCTAAGTAACAAAGCATAGCGTAGGGCCCTGAGCTTCCAAGCTCTCTCGTTTGGTGTTTGTGTGTTTGTGTGTTTGTGTGTTTGTGTGTTTGTGTCACGCCTGGCGCTATCCGTATCTGACGGCAAAAAAGCATAGGATGTTATACATTTTTCAATTCTCCTATTTTTTCAGGCATATCCTGGGATTCGAACCCGCACTATCGCCCTACATGCATTCCCCCATACACTTCGCATTCATACCCATTCTTCCAAGTTGCTTCACGTTATTATCTTGCGTTTGAAAGCCCTATTTGAATATTCCGGTAAGCTGTATGTGACAGCTG